TATTGCCCTCTCTTGTCCTTTTTGACATTAAAACCAACTCAGAACTCATCTGCTTGACTGTTTCAATCCTAAATAGAGCCATGGAGCTATTTTATTGTTCTGTTTACAACAGAAGGCATTTATACATTATTGCTTCTGTGTTCCCTTTAAATGGAGAGAAATGTCAGCTGTGCTGCTGCCATCAACACCTTTGTTTATAGATATTGGAGATTTGCCTGTTTTTCCAGTGTAGTCCTGTTTCTCTGACTGTGACTGGCTGGATGTGCTCTCTTCATCCTCTGACATGGGAGCTGGCTCGGAACTCGTCTGCCTGGCTGTGTGTTTCCTGGACAGGACACCTTTTACAGCTGCTTTTTGTATCTCTGTTTCTGTCTCCTTGAGCCCCAGTCGGCCTCAGCAGAGGGCCGCTCACACTGAGCCTGGTTCTGCTGGAGTTTTTTTTCCTGTTAAAAGGGAGTTTTTCCTCTCCGCTCTCACTACCAGCATGCTTAGTGTAAAGGATTGCATTCGAGTAAATGAGTCGATGCAATCAACTGGTTTTCCTTAGATAGAAAACTTTGAATCAATTTGACTTTAAGATCTGGTAAACTGTAAAGTGCCTTGAGATTACATGTGTTGTGAATTTGCGCTATATAAACAAACTGAATTGAATTGAATGTCTACCTCTGACCACTTCAATAGCCAGTCAGCTTGAGAAAAGGATGCTCACATTGGGCATGGTTCTGCTACAGGTTCCTTCCTGTTAAAAAGGAGTACCGTATTTTCACGACCATAAGGCGCACCGGACTAAAAGGCGCACTCTCAGTTATGTGTCCCATTTCTGTATTTAACACACACATAAGGCGCACCGGACTATAGGGCGCGTTTTTTATATACAGGTACAAGTCCTCTAGTACCTTTAAATACCTCTACTGCGTATTTAAAAATACAGCGGGGGCAAAACTGAGTATGACTGTGCTTTATTCATGTATTTATTACAAAGTATTAATCAAACCTGGGAGCTGGCCGTGAGACAAACACATCGCAGATGACACAGCGCTGTGATCACTCCTAAATTAACTTAAAATCCTGAAACCTGCTGACGGAATATGTTCGCTTTTATTGCCGGTATCCTGGTGCCTGCAGCTAAAATTATTTAGATGAAAAACACCTGCCAGCAGCCGCGGTGAACCCCAGGCTGCCCAGCCTACAGGCTGGGCACCGATGTCGAGCGGTTGAAGCTCCTTTGTCAGACCCCCGGAATAACGGCGAGCACAGCGTTCATTGATTCACTTTTTTTCACATCGGCTGTGAGATGGGCACGCAGCGATGGTGATGCGTGGAAAAAACCACCTAGTCTTCTCACATACACCTGCCTCAGCCACGCACCCACCCAGCCTTTTCCATTTGCGTTAATATCATATGTCATCAGAGCGCTGTGTCTGTCTCGCTGGCAGCTCCCAGATCAGCTTCTCTGATTGGTTGATGCGGCGCGTCCAGCAGCAAAACTTCAATTTTTCCATCTGAGCAGCAGCAGCGCGTTGGCGGTGCTTCAGATGCTTAAACGCTCCCGACGTGCTGCACCAAAATGCGCTGCGGGACCTTTTGCTGTGCCTATATGCGCGTCAACCATTGACTTTGCATGTAAACTCGCTGCTTCTGCTGCACCTGCTGGGTCCGGTTCACACCGATGTCGAGCAGCGTTAATTTGTTTCCCCATGTTTTTCACATCAGCTGTGAGATGGGCACGCATGGAGTTACATATTAACAGCGATGGTGAGGGGTGGAAAAAAAACACCTGGCCTCCTTACATTCAGCCACTCTTTCATCATCTCCTCAATGAGGTGGTCTCAAAAGTCGCAGTTACAACACACATAAGGCGCACCGCACCATAGGGCGCACCGCACATTTTGAGGGAAAAAAAAGACGTTTAAGTGCGCCTTATAGTCGTGAAAATACGGTACTTCCTCTCCACTGTCACTGCATGTTTGATAGGTATGAGGGGTTGCTGCAGCATAAACCACAAAATTCTAGTAACTAACTTATTGACTGGATGCAATTAGTTTGGTTTCCTTAAATAGAAAACTTTGAACCAATCTGACTGTATGATTTCATTGAGTTGTCTCTGTCAAGTACCTTGAGGTGACATGCGATGGCAATTGACACCAGAAAAATAAACTGAATTCAATTGAAATTGAATTGAAAGTATCACCCTAGGAATAAGACCTAGCAAAGCTACTTCCTGCGGTACTTCAAAAAACTGCAGCCTGCTGATTTTCTACACTGCCACCAATCAGTCTGTCCTGTTTTTCTATCACTGCATGGTTTAAGTCATCCACAATAACTTGGCTGACCTTCCCTCTGTCCAAATTTCAACAGCTCTAGGGCCAGAAATAGGGAGAACTCTTGTAGATACTAAACATACTAAACATTTATATTGCACTTCACTTCTTACAATCCCCTTTTCTCTCTTGACATTATCCAGATAAAAGGCAACATACAACTTGACTGTATTCACCTAGTGTCTGTGTATTGTGAGCATGACTAGATAGCTGCTCATGCTAAATCGGATTCTGCTGGATGTTTCTTCTTGTCTTTAGGGTTTTTCCCTATTCAATCTTCACTTGATTGAATGGAGGATATATTTCTTGAAAGTAAGACAATGTGTGATAATTGTCTGAAATTTCTTAGTCAAACTTTAACCAAAAGATCAGTCTGACATAAACGGTTAATATGGATTCAGTTAGACCGAAGGTAATCAGACTGCATGGGCTGAGGATATTGAAGTGGGTTTCATTGATCTGAATACAAATTGGACCATAATGGACACTTTTTGCATGGAATTCTTATGTTGCCCCTGCAGATATACAATCCATTTCCACAGCTCTGTTTGTTTCTATGCTGTCAACTGATAGACCAGATGTCATAGATTAGCGAACCACGATCCGGACCCCAACCCACCTGCTGGCTAATCCGTACCCAACCTGATTTAAAACAATTATAAATTACTGCATGTTGTCTGACGGCAGGGTCTAATTTCACTTGCGCCACTTCTCCTGTTAGTATAGTAAAGCACTCCGGAGCGTCCGGCACCAGGCTACATGTGTTACAAATCAGTCAATGAGCTGTGTCAGTCTGGGTCACTGCTACTAGCCACTTTTAGACACAGCAGGCAAACCTGTGGAAAGCTGGGCAATGGGAAAGAAGGAGAATATGATGAGAATAAGAAAGTATATCAAGTGTAGACTGCTGGAAGAACTGCAGTGAACTGGTGAAAGAAAAGTGAAATGGTGTGCTCAAAGATGACCCTGGACTTTTTGAGTTTGTTCGGCTCAACCTACTAATGTGAAGCAGAAACATAATAATGAACATAATCAAAAATAAATATTGATCCTGGCTCACAAATGAGCACCTTGATATGTGCTTGAGAATGGCTTTGTCCCCATTAAAACCCATAAAAAAAGGTGTTTTATAGAATATGGAAATCAGGAAATTGTCTATTTACCAAACTGAATGGTTAGGGTTAGGGTTAGCTAACCCTAACCCTAGGGTATACTCTCTCTACTTCAAAAAACACTTTAGATTTAAAAATGTAAAAATGTTATATTTTCTTAAATATTTTTTATTTAAAAAGTACATTTATAACATGGGTGCATAAACTCCTGATTTTATTTCAGTGTTCAGTTTTGTTTAAAGTAACGGATTATAATTAAAAATGTCTCCGAACCTTTACTTGTTGATGATTTTCTCAGATTTTTGAATGGCTAACCCTGTGATAGAATATCCTGTCCAGATTGCATGCAGCCTTTACACCCCTAGAAATAGGCAGCAGCAACCCATTCCTCCTCCCATCCCTGGACCATGCCAGAGTCATTGGCCACCGTAACTATTATTAACCTGAGAAAATCCTGGGTCACTTGGAGAAGGAAATGTCACTTGTTTTCTCATTTTCTTCATCAGCTGCCATAGAAATATAGATGAAGAAGGAAGAAGGGCAGAGAAAAATAAACAAACCCAGGATTGGCCAAAGAAGCAGTTGTGGTGACTGATGACCTGCATAAATGCTTCAGGGGAGCAAAACACAGTAGTCCTTCACCAGACACCTACATTTTCTCTGAGGGAACCCTGAGGTGTTCCAGGGCCAGTTGAGATACATAGTCACTCCAACATACCCAGGGCCATTCCCTGTGCCTCCTCCTGGTTAGACATGCCTAGAACACCTCCTGTGGAAGGCGTTCGGGGGTCATCTGAATCCGGGCTTACACTGTGTGTGCAAGAATTTTTCGATCTGGTCGACTTTCAGCCTGATTGTGCTATGGGTAGTGTACAGGGGATAACGAGGGGCGATCAGCCTCTCACGACTACCTCCCGACAAAGAATCGTGAGGTTGGGAGAAAAAGCCGCTTGTATTGTTAATAATTTCCTTCGTTCAATCATGATCAAAATTTCATGACCATAGGTAAGGGTACCGACCAGTGAATTGAGAGATGTGCAGATTCTTTTTCCCAAGAGTTGATTTCCTTGTCAATTTTGATTCAGAGCAGCATTGTTTTCACTTTCAACCCCACAGGTATATGAGGCCATTTCCTATTTTTTGCTGGCCTCAGTTTCTGCTATATTACTAATTCTTTCATTATAAATCAAATAAATACCAATTTCTAGGTTTCTTTGGTTGTTTTTTTTTTTTTTTTTTTTTTTTTTTTAAGCATATCTTTTATGGGCATCCTCAGCCACTGACCTGAAGGCAATGAGTGGCATTTATTACTGCTGTTATTCATCACCTCTCATTACCCCATCCCCTCATCCTTCATTTTCATCACTCTGATCTATTACTGTCTATTCGGCGCGCTGAATGCTCTCTGCTCTGGTGTCACTGTCCTTTTCCTTCCCTATCACCCTGATCTAATTTGCGCTCTTCCTCTGACCTCTGATCTGAATAATTCCTTGGTCCGTTGTGGTCATCTTGTCATCATGTCAGCTCCCTCTCTGATTATGCTCTTTCTATTAATGTTTCTTCTCAGGTTCGTTTACTTTTGGATCAGTGCAACTGGATTCCATGGAAAAATCGACCCAGTAAACAGCTGAGAACCGTCTATCAACTCTGATGCCAAAGCACCACTTGTAGCTGTAGACCAGGAAAGCAAAAGTGGGAGAAAAAGGGGTCAGGGGTGAAAAGTTGCAGACCACAGAGCTGCTGCGGAAGCTGCAGCAGAGAGAATTAAGGAGCAGACGTTTTGGGAGGGAAGGTCAAGAGTCATAAGATCAAAGATGATGACTTCACATGGAAAACTGAGGAGGGAGAAGGGCAGCCTAGCAGAGTATGAATCTCAGATGAAGGGTAAGTGTCAATGTACATATACAATGTGTCTGCGCGCATATGTCAATGAAAGAGTTAAAAAGGCAGTGATGCAGGAATGTATGCAGTTGCTCTGCACAGGCATTCATGCATATACTAGTATGCAGCAGCATCAGCTATCCTGCATACAATTCATTCATTTTTATCCAAAATAAAAACCACTGTATGGAGCAATCCAAGAAGCAGTGGGTCAATGAAAACCTATTATGTAGAATAAGAGGAACTTTATTGTTCCCTGCATTGGGAAAGAATTATATTTTTTAGGCTATGATATGGAGCAGAACCTGGCTAGTCTTGGCAAATTCGAGGTTCTCCTATGTGCGTGTTTTAACCGGCTGGCTCTATGTACTGTACCTCAGCGGGGGGTATTTATAGTTAATATTAGTGATGTTGTCTCCACACATTCAGTCAGTCTGGGGCAGAGTGCTCACAAAAAGATGAAAAGAGAGCAAGAAGGAAGCGATGTGATAGAGGTTTAAAAAGAGAAAGAATAAAGAGAAAACAGAGAGAGGTCAGGGGGCAAATTGAAACAAGGATAGCTCAGAAGGTGATGTTTTGACCTTTTCATATTACAGTGCAACATAGAGACAAGGAACTTGGTGATTCTGCTGTGTTTGGTTATAAGCTTGTGCATATTATGTAATGCTATGCTAGAATTCAGCAGCTATGATCCAAAATTGTCCTCACAGTACAATGAAACAGCAAGGATATTTACCCTCTCAGTGACAGCAAAGAAAAGTCTTCCTTTGCCAAATAATAATTCAAGGCTAACAGAACATTGTAACCATTAGTCCCTTTAACATTTTCACATTATGTCATTGTGCAACCACAAACCTCAATGTATTACATTTGGTTTTTATGTGCTATACTAACAGATGAGTAAAATCTGTGTAGGTGAAGGTGCAGGGTTTGAAGTATGACATACTGTTTATAAACACAATGCAAAAAATTAGGTATGGGTTTGGATTCAGTTCATCTTGATCCCAAAAATGAATCAAGTACAGCTAATTCCTTTTGGATTGAGCTAATTAGATCCTAATCCGAGAATAAATGCAGATTTTCTGCAAAGGCATCAGAGAACATTTGTAAATAAACACCATTGTAAAGACCAATTATCACAGCAGACGGGTCGGGGAGATGGTTATGGAGCAGAGCACTTTCCTAGAGATAGAGTGGGAAGCCCAGCCATCTGGGAGAGGAATTAGCTGAGGCTGCTCTGATATCTGATTCGGAGGCCTCCTTGGACGCCTCCCTCAAATGATGTTGTAGGTAAGCTCCATTAGAAGGAGGTGTCCCTAGGTGTCCCCCAGGGGAGCTGGAGGAGGTATCTGGGGAGAGGAAAATCTTGGCCATTCTGCTGAGACTGCTGCTCAATATGATGATAAAAGAGTACTTTTTGCTCCCCAAAAATTAGTCTTTTATATGACTCATGTGTTCGTGACCTGCCGTGGCACAGGAGCGGCAGTAGTGGCACCTGCCACTGATTTCCATGACTTGCCACAGCACCCTACCACTGATTTCCATGACCTGCCATGGCACCAGAGCATTGGCATTGGCACCTGGGACCAACGATCACTGACTTCATAAGTGTGAACTTGTATTTTCATGTGATTTTCTTCATATCACCACATTAATTTAAAACCACTCACATAAGCAGTTACTGTACCTTACAGTTTCTTTATTAAATTGTTTAAAAATGTTTATTGAATCACAATGTGTTTTTAGCACATCATAAATTAAAAGTAGAATGAATGAATTTAAAAGGAATTTATTTCAGACAATTTAAGACAGTTTTGGTTAGCAGGGCCAGTTCCCAAGCCAAAGCTCCTCAGCGGGCCAGTTCCCGAGCCTGAACCCCTTAGCAGGCCAGTTCCCAAGCCAGAGCCCCTTAGTAGGCCAGTTCCCGAGCCTGAGCCCCTTAGTAGGCCAGTTCCCGAGCCAGAGCCCCTTAGTAGGCCAGTTCCCGAGCTAGAGCCCCTTAGTAGGCCAGTTCCCAAGCCAGAGCCCCTTAGTAGGCCAGTTCCCGAGCCAGAGCCCCTTAGTAGGCCAGTTCCCAAGCCTGAACCCCTTAGTAGGCCAGTTCCCGAGCCAGAGCCCCTTAGTGAGCCACTCTCTGAGACAGGGCCCTTTAGCCAGCCAGTCCATGAGTACAGGCCCTCTATAGTCAGAAGCTGTAGGTGTTTCCCCTCTAGAGTCAGGCTGTGCCGTCTCTTCGTGGGTATGCTGCAGAGACGCCGGCCTCCAAGGTTCCTGCTGCACCTTCCTCACGGCTGTTCTCCAGAGGTCCTGCTTCGTCACCGAACTCAGATCCTCTGGAATCCAAGTTCAATGCCCTACGACCTAAGCTACCACTCCCTAATTTATTAATGTCCAAGCATATCTTAAGTCGAAATTACAAGTTGATATCATCCATAAGCTGATTAATATAAAAGATAAATAATTTTGGCCCCAATACTGACCCTTGAGGGGACACCACAAACAATGTCCAAGGATGATGACTGGCACTAAACCATTTGCATAAATTGTTGCCTGTTCTTTAGATAGCTTTTCATCTATAGTAGTACTACAGTGCTCCCCGGATGCCATAACGTTCCAAATTCTTAATTTTAGATTTATTGTGTCAAAATTTTTTTGAGATCAGGAAATACACCAACTGCAGATTTCTTATTATCTAAGGCACTGGTGACTTCTTCTATCAATTCGATGATGGCCATTGCTGTAGATCTTTGTGATCTAAATCCATACCTGATTTTCAGAAAGCATTTTATGTTTATTAATGAATGTAGCTAATCTATCCACAAATAATTGCTCCCAAAAATTTGGAACACTGTGGGAGTAGAGAAACAGGCCTATGGTTTGTGAAATGATGGCTGTCCCCAGATTTATAAAGTGGAATCATTTTGGCAATTTTCTTCTTTTCTGGAAATTCACCAGACTGAAATTACAGATTCTAGATATAAGTCAGAGGCTAAATAATTTCCTCGAATACCCTCTTAATTACTGTCATATCAATGCCATTACAGTCATTTGACCTCATGTTTTTACATTTATTCATAATATCTATAAATTCTCTTTCTCCCGCAGCAATCAGAAACATTGAATAAGGATTTCTGTTGATTATTGTTTCATTCACAGCTCCAGTTGTTGTAGGATCCGGGATTTTTTTTTTCTTTTTTGCCAGTTTAGGTCCCACTCTCTCTTTGATATTTTTCTTATTTATATCAAAAACATTTACTCTAACGACCCTGTTTAGCTGTTCATAGGATAGCAGTTAATTTATACCTATATTTCTATATTTATATTGTGTAGGCATTTTGCAAACCCTTTGTAATCCATTTTTTTTAGAGAACATTATTGATGGACAGTTTTTTCGTACAATACTTTAAATATGTTAAGAAAATTATAATTTGCTATATTGACACTATCTTCTTGCCAGTTATGTTTCAATGTGTCCTCTTTGAAAGATTTTAGTTTTTCCTCTGTTCAGCCTCTTTTAAACTGTGGATTAATATTTACTTATTCTTTATATAGAAATTGTTGCTGACAACAAAGACTGGAAGATGATAGCTAATATGCTGAACTAAAAATCTGCTTAATGTATTATTATCTAAGATGTTAGTAAATATATTATATATTAATGTGGCACAGTTAAATGTGATCCTGGGTCTGTTGATTTTGGGGGAAAAGGCTCAAACTGTACATGGTAATAATGAACTCTTCAGTAGGTTTATGGTTATGTAAGTTAAGTAGATCAATATTAAAGTCCCCAAAGATGAAGAAGACCTTCTGAGATGTTGCTGTGTATGTTTGCCCAAACCATTCTCTACATATTTCCATATTGGAATCAGAAGCTCTGTATATAAAAATAGAAATGAAATTTTTTGACTTTTCCATATATATTTCAACTGTTAAACACTCAAATGCATCTTAAGTCACTCTAGTCATGTTTTCTACTATTTTATACTTATACTTTATACTATAATCAGTTTTTTGTTAACATACACAACAGCTTTCCCCCAGTTCTCCCTTCTCTAATGATGTAATTGGACTCATAACCCTCCAGCTCAAAATCAGCCCCTCTCTCATGAGTGATCCATGTTTCCGAAATGGCTATAATGCTGAACGGCTGTTTAAACTGGTTTAGACAGTATTTGATGTTGTTGCAGTTAGCAAACTTCTGCTGTTGAAGTGTATGATAGAAAACGTATTATCTACTTGAACTGCCCTGTTGCATTAATCAACTGTGTAGTAGCAGCAGTTATCAACAGTGTCATAGAATAAGTTTTATCTGGATCCACATTGTCTTCCATGTTCTGACTTTTATAATCTGTATAGCTGAATGTTTTCAGTTCCAGGTTATTTGCACTAACAGTTGTTGGCGTTAGCGTTGTCCATAAGGGACAAAGAAACAGTTCCAACTTGTGACATGGTGATAGGGAGTCTTGCGTGATATCACCTGTGCTCCAAATGTTTCTCAAAGAGTTCTGTTATATTTATCCAGCTCTGTGATGTCTCGAATGACCAAAACCTTTGCCTCCTCCAGTTTTCCATTTAGCTTGATCAAGACCTTACAGTTCCTGGTCCACATGGATCTTCTCCTGCTTCCTAAGGAAACCGACCTTCCTCGCGGGGTCGGCATTCTTCTTGGTCAGCTGCTCATTAATGTACATGTCTGACCTCTTTAGCAAACTGCCCTGTTTCTGCAGAGCAGTTTTTTGCTTGCGGTTACTGAACCTCATGATGATCACCGGTCTGTTGTTGTTCCCTCATCTCTGGAGCGGGTGGCACACTTGAAATCAGTCACAGTCCAGCTTTCTCCCCTTTGATAAGAGGAAAGAGGCCACCTGTTCCTCCGTCGACTTTGTTTCGTCGGGTGATGGCTCACCAACCGGACAGGGCCCTGCAACTGCAGCGGGGCTTGATGCGCAGTCCAGTGATGATCACATCATTCATTCTGATGTACTTTTCCAAGTCATCCACTTGGTCTTCCAGAACTGTCATCAGTTTCTCCTTTTCCTCATTCAGAGCATTATTCATTATGAACATATGCTGGCAAATTTTGAGCTTGCTTAAAATTTCTCGACGTGTGCCAGCTTGTTTAAGTGTTGTTCAGCGTTCTCCAGTGAGCTCAACGTTAGGCTTGTCCCGATCCGATACGTGGATCGGATCGGGACGCCGATATTGGCAAAAAAATGCGTATCGGCAAAGTATGTAAAATGCCGATCCAGACTGCCGATCCAGTTTTTTTTTTTTTTATCCGGTCCGTATTTTCCAGTTTCTCCGATTGAAACGATCCATTCCACTATTTTGCGCCAGTGTTCCCTGTTTTGCATTTTTATTAAAACTTACAGTAATACTTGCACCTTTAACTGTTTACGGCTTTACTGTTCACTGTGCAATTTCAGATTGCTATTCATAATTTTGTCCAGTTTGTGTTTATCTCTTAATAAACAGGTAAGTTTGTTGTTACCAATCATTGTGTTTTATTCAATCTCACCTAATTTAGCTGGCTAGATGTTATCAAGAGTACTAAAACCCTTTTCAACAGGAGTCTTACAACTAAGGCTAAATACTTTAACTTAAACTTAAATACATGCTCGGATAGGCTGGTATCGGCCAGTATCGGTATCGGATCGGAAGTCCAAAAACAATATCGGATCGGAAGTGCAAAAACCTGGATCGGGACATCTCTACTCAACGTACCCATAACTTAACGTATGCTAGTGTTTTTGCCAGATTTTTTGTACATCAGGTATAAGCTGTATAAATCATCAAGGTGTGACAGGAGCTTTAATGCAGCACTTTGTAAAAACACATCTTCCCAAGAAAATATGTTTTCGCATAGCGCTGCCTAGCTTTTCCCCCTAAACAGCATATTTTCAATCAGTTTACATTTGATAACCAAACTTGTTTTATGTCAATCTTTAAAAAAAGGGATTGAAGCAAAGGAAATCTCAGGGGGGTTGGAGACAAATACAGAGCTTTGCAGGTTCTTGGAAATGCGGTGTATTTCACTTTTCTTGGTAACAATTCATATTTTGTTTTCAATCTAACTTTTTGCAGGTCAACATTCAGAAACAGGTACAATAATTGTTTACACAGAGAAGAAAGCTATTGTTATGATATGTCCCCTGAGAGGTCTAAAATTTTCTTTTTCTTTTAAAACATACAGTAACTCAAAAATAAAAAAGAGATCTCTGCATTGTGCTGTTGTTGATAGATTCCTACAGGGATACATCTAATGTTTATGTAAGCCAAGACCTCAAGTTGAGGGCAGGGGGCAGGCATGAAAAAGGAAAAGCAGGCAATTTCCTAAATAATAAGAAAGAAAAAAACAACAACTACAAACTTAAATATACAAGAATAATCAGTGCTACCCGATCATACAGAGAGATTCCAAGTAAAATACAAACATTACAAATTGCTCCAAAAACCAATTAAAATCAAGATCAGATTCAGTCAAACGTTTTCTATCTAAGGAACCCATAGAGATTGCATCAACTCATTCAGGTGCATCCTCTATTCCTCCTAGTTGAGCTTATAGGAAGTCAAAATAAGTTGTTGTCCTTCAGCAGCCAAAGAGCTCGGGATAACCTCAGTCCCTCCAACTATAAAATGTATCAAACAGCAACCTTTTTAGTTTAACAGTGAAAGTAAACGCGGTGTCTTTGACACAGAACTCTTGTTATTATCAACTATTTTCTTAAGAATTAAAGATGATTAGATATAGATTTGTAATTTATTTCAAGTCATATTGATCAAGGGGCAGTTTCCTTAATAATGTCTCTGGCCCAAATCCATTTATGAAGTATAAGGCATTAGTATGGATCAATAATATTTTTAATGGTGAGGGTAATTATAAAGGCACACTTCCTTAAATAACATGTATGGTTGTTTGTTCTACAAAAACAGTCCTATTGCACTTTGTAATTATCATGTATCAGGGAAAAATTGGTATAAAAATCATTCATACTGCAGAAAACATGAAAATATATTTATATTCTTAGGATTTTAAAAGGATAAGATAAATAATTACTCACTAATTGCTTTAAAATGATTTTTTTCTTCTGTTTTCTGTGAGCATGCTTCCAGGATCATGAATATGTATTTTCTAACTGGAAGCACTTTCTCCCTCTCTCTAACTTGTTAGATTTGCGGGCCCAGTTGACAGACCAGCTAAAGATTTTAGACTCCCAGGTTGAGGTGAAACAGCAGCAGCTCTCAGACCTGTCCGAGTTTCTCCGGCGTCGGGGCGACATTGAGAGCGAATATGCACGAGCCCTCGACAAACTAACTGAAAGGTTCACTCACAAGACTAAAAAGTAAGCATGTGTTTTAATCTTCGGCTTCCAAAAGTTATGTCTTTTGAAGATTGATCTATTGTGATTACTTAATGTTGTCAGACAGGCATTATTAAAGGATTACTTGCTCCAGCAGGTCATGCAATTATTACGGTATGTTGATTTTCTTCCATCTGCAGAAAGGAGCAGTGGGGTCAGTCTGTTTGTCAGGTCTGGTCAGTTTTGCTGACTCAGACCCGTCTGGAGAGTCGGGAGCATGCAGCGCTGGGGGACACCTGCTTCAACACCCTCACTCAGAGCCTGACTCACAGCACGGAGGACACACACCGCCTGCACAAAAAGGTGAAATGATGTTTGCTGTTTTTACATGTGAGTGAGGACTCCATCATGGACAGAACATTAGATGTAAAGAGACTTAACATAGAAGTTACAAGTATCCCTTTATTCATTTGTTCTAACAGTGAAATTAGTATTCTTTTATAAAGGGCACAGCATGCTCTTTAAAAATTAGAATTATTGTTGATGATCTCTGAAGCTTTTTCCAGTTAAAATTTGAGTAGAATCTTAATTAGGCAACAGTAACTGATTTTTTTTTTGACTAACTCCAATCAGAGCAAAGCCTTTTAGCTTTCAAACTCTTTTCACTTTCTGATATTATCCATAAATATTAAAAAGCAAAGGTGCACAACAGATCACTGGCCACTTAAGGAAAGATATGCAGCTTTCTCAAAGAAAAATATATTCTTGAAAGAATCTTCTGTCTTTTTCCAAATATGACATAAACAAAAAAGAAAATTGACAATGTGACCCAGGGTTAAAAAAAATTAAGGGACTGAGTAACTTTGCAAAACAGCTTTCATCTTTCCTGAAGAAGACGGGTTTCTATTTGATTCAGTTATATTTATAAAGACATATTTGTGACTTCCAAGTTCAGAAAATTGAAGGAATTCACATCTGACCACCGAATGGATTCCTCGTCAGGTAACACTGAGATTTTAATCTCAGTGCTCACTCACCGCTAGTTAGAACTGAAGAACCCTCTTGGATGCGAGGTGAAATGTCCTCTAAAAAACTTAATGTAAAGTTGCCTAGACTGAACTTTTTAAAGCTTGACCAAGACCTGGATGACTGAGATTCTTCACAGATATCATTAATCAGGTTTAAATTGAAATCATGATGCTTTTAATTATTCTTCTTTTGGTGTGGAAGCATACATTATAAGCCACATAAAGAACAAAACCAACCACTTTTTGCTGGTGAAGATTCTCAGCCATCTAGGTCATAGTCCTTCCAAAAAAGTAAAAAAACAACAACAATCCACTGGACTTTGTCTCCAACTTTGAAGACGTTTCACTTCCCGTCCAGGAACCTTTTTCAATTCAAAAAGTCAGAATTAGTGTTAAGTTCATTATAAGTTCATATGTCATAATTTTATCTAGAGCTCTGACCCACATGCAGAAGACCAAATAGAGAGACCAGGGAAAAGTTTAACAGGTTTTTATTGAGAGTGAATGAGATGAATCCAGTGCTGCTCTGAACACTATCGAACCGGAATTGGAAAGTGAAGGGGAAGATACTGTGGTTAGTTCAGGCTCAGTGGGAAATTAGTGTCTTTGACTTGAAGAAGAGGATTTAGGTTGCAGACTCACGTTTCCAGAAAAAAGTGTCTCTTATTAAATCCAGTCGGTGTGGGTTGTTCCAGTGAATGTCTGGTTCGTTGGAGGGCGGACAGGGTTTACCCAGAATGCGGTTGTTCCTTGGTGAACGGAGAAGCTGACTGCCACTTAGTTTTCCTGCGGTACTTGAATGGGTTATAGTGGAGATGAATCCCCTCCTCAGAGAGAAGCCCCAAACAATCCTTGGGGGGAAAGTTGATCCAAAACACAAACTTGAATCCTCAGCTCAGTTTGGTGCTCAGAGAATCCTTCCGAGGGGAGAAGGTCCAAAACATCCAGTTTGCAGGATGACTTCCTGCCAAGAGGCAAAGACAAAAACAGCGAGATTAAAACTCAGGTAGACAAAAACTCAGTTTGACTCAGCAAAACTCAGGTTGGCTAGAGTACCGAAAACTTGCAAACACTCCTAAGCAGCTTAAGAGTACTCCATTAATGAGGTAACCATCCGCAGGTGTGTGAGGAGGCCAACCAGAACCCGGTGCCGCCTGGTGGAGGAGGAAAGACAAACACAAACACAACCCACACAAACTGGATTCCTAACATTATAGAATAGACAAAAAAACTTGTTTTGGCTCAGAAAACATGCAAATTGAACAGGAAGAACAGGTCCGCCATTAGTAATCGGTAGTTGTTTGGGTTCTCTTTTAGGCGGCAATACCCGATACTGGTCTATGCCCCTGAAAGGGGGAGTCGTTAGAGAAAATTGTTGGCCTGGGTGACCAGGCAGGATTTCTTGGTCCCCTGCATGGTGATGAGGATTTTGATAGCAGGAAGGAATCAGCTCTTTTGCTGCGTTGTAGGTTTTTGAGAGCTGAAACCTGAGTCGGCTTCCTTTACATCATTTTCAAACCACCTGTCTTCTCTGTCCAAAATGTGAACATTGTGGTCCTTAAAAAGAATGTCCTTTGTCTATAAGATGCAGATGTACAGTCGAGTCTTGTCCTGAGGAGGTAGCTCTCCTGTGTGGAGCCATGCGTCTATGGAGAGGTTGTTTGGTTTCTCTAATATAAAGATCAGAGCATTCCTCACTGCATTGAACTGCAGACACCACTCAGCTCATCTTAGGTCTGGGGGGGTTTCTTTTTTCTCTGTCAACCTTAATAGGTAAAGTTCAAGGGTTGGTCCATGTTGTACTAGTTATTGTGGCAGGCATGTTTTCTCTCTTAAAATGTTACATTTGAGTGGGATTTCTTTATATTTTCCCCTGTTATGTACAACATACCAAAAGAAACAATGACAATATACAATGTAGCTGAACCTTGAACACAGATGTTTATCAAAAAAATATAATTGTTCCTATTGCAGAGCAAAGAGGTGGGGGTTCATATGCAGGATGAGCTGCTTAAGGTCACCACTGAACTGCAAACAGTAAGAAAACCTAGATCTTTGATGAAAGTTTAAAATCTAATAAAATTAGCTGTGCAGTTCTGCAAAGTTTTCTCCTGGATTTTATTTTTCCTTGTGTTAATGAAGGCACTGAAGACATACAACCAGTACCACACAGACTGCTTGATAGCTGAGGGGAAACTAAAAGAAGCAGAGCGTCTGGAAGAAAGGCACACTGGCAAATCAACAGAGCTTGGTCCCAGCCAATTGCCAGGACAGAGGCGAAGCTCTGTGAAGAAGATGGAGCGGTTAATGGAGAAGGTGTGTGAGCATTTGTTGAGACAGAAACAGTGAGCAAACCCACAGGAAGTTTAGATGTGAGGTTTCTGCAGCAGAAACCACTTCCTCTTCCTTATTGTTAATTTAAATGAGCTCAGGTGTTTAAAAAAAAACCAGAATTGGACTGTTTTTGGCTGTTCCCTTAGTTTTTGTAGTTATTTCTTTCTACATCTGCTGTGTTTGCACAGAGGCATGGAAGAGTGCAGGAGACCCAGCTGAAGTGTACAAAGGCTCGAAATGACTATCTGTTGAATCTAGCTGCAGCAAATGCAGCCATGAACAAGTACTACCTGCAGGATGTCAGCACCCTCATTGACGTAAGGAACCCCACATTAATATTTCAGATCTTAAGCCCAGTTTATAAAACCACTAAGAAGTTTAAGTTAGTATTAAGTTATTGTTTCATTATAAAGTTGTAGAAAATACCACATAATAAAGAAACTTTTACAATTCATACTGCTTCTCTTTATTTTCCAACATGAAGGTTTTCCTCTTCAGCCAATTCTAAATCCATCTTTTCTTTCCTCTCCTTCCTTCCTGGTAGTGCTGTGACCTTGGTTTCCATCTTTCTGTTGAGAGAGTGATGAAGTGCTACCTCGCCAGTAGGTGGCGCATTCAGAAGGCAGAGGAGACAGGGCTAAAGCAGTTGGAAACGGCTGTGACGTCCCTGGACCAGAGTGGAGACAGGGATGCATTGCTACAGCAGCATGACGCAGCTTTTTGCCTTCCATTCAGATTCAGCTATCACCCACATGAGGGAGACCAGGTACATTTACGGTGACAAGCAGGTGGATTTCTACACTAAGAGACACATCTTGTATTTCCAACATTTACTCAAAGTATTTGAACCCACGTAAACATTTGAAAAGTCAGGTTACTGCAACAAGTTTTGGTGTATTCTTCTAAGATGTTATGGGTCTCTAACTAGACGGGGAGTGTATCATTGCCAAGTGGAGGAATCATTTGTAATGACTTTAGATTTTCTTTTTGTTTTAAATTGGTGTGTGGGGGTTTAAAACTTAAACTGCCCTTGGAATGCTATGCTGGGCAGAATAATCACAGCTACAATCAGTAAATCTTAGCAAGCAAAATGGGTGGGTTTGGTCTTTTATCATCAGCTTATTTTATTTAATTATTAGTTTTTAAGTATTTCCTTACTTCTAATTGATTGGAAGCAACATTAAGGCCATTTATCTGCACAATCTGTCTGTCCAAACATCTTCCTATCACTTTGAGTTCCACAAACTTTTTTTATGTACATTATATATTTGCATATTTCCAGGTGTGTGAGGTGAGCGCGGAGAGCCAGGTAAGGTATGAGCTTGAAACCAGGTTCCAACAGCTTCAGTCTCGGCTCACGGCCGTCACCTTGGAAACAGAAGAGGTCAGTCGTTACTTTCACAGCATATATCATAATGTTGAGTTTGCAAAAACTGGTCAACAACTTGGACAGCATTAGCAGCCTAGTTTTGACATACAACTGAAACATGTACTTAAACAGAAATGACTTGTAAAACAGGCAAAAGTACAATGTGACCGTTTCTGCCATCTTTTTAGATTAGTAAAACGCTTAAAGCCACACTTGCTGCCCTGCTGGATTCCATGTGTGATGGTGATTGCAATCCCTCCCCTGACGTGTCCACCAGTCTATCACACGAGTCCTTGGGTGGAAGCACCGCCCCAAAACTTAGCCTTGCCAAGCGTCGAGCCAATCAGCAGGAGACAGAGACTTACTATTTTACAGTGAGTTGGGTGTATTTCAGATTGAAATAAAGATGATGAGACCCTTTATCCCATTTAAAGAATTCCAGTTATTCCAACAGTAAAGTTTTTTCATCGCTTTTTTAATTTTTATTTGTATTTTAGAAAGTAAAGGAGTTCCTCAACAGCAGCTCCCTGGCCTCAAAACTTCAAGCCAAACACGATCTTCTACAAGATGCCATACAGAAAGGTGCTCTTTATATATCGGTAGTTTAGAAGCAGTTTATACCAATGTTGAGTTACCAGGAATCTGTGTTTGCTTTCATGACCTCCTCAGGCAAAAATGATGAAACAGATAATTATAAATGCCTTTCACAGTTGTGAGGATTTTTTATCATACAAACAATCATGAATATTTTTTTTTTCTCATGGTGTTTAGTCCTGGTTTGAAGTTGTTTCTAACCTCTCAAACACCTTGACAGTAATTTTGCGGGGGAAAAAAGGGCCCAGCTTAGTAACTTTTATTTAAAATTACATTCATTTGTCTCCAAATATGCTATACAATATGACTATTTGATCTGATATTTCAATCTGTTATTTTGATTAAATTTGTTATTAAAAAGTGCTTTGTAAATAAAGGTGGTATGGTGTATAAATTATGTATAACTTTTCTTCCTTTTCTTCTTAATTTTAATGTGGAAGAAATGTGGAATTAAATGTTTTCACATTTAATTCCATTTAGTAATGAAACTTTTTAAACCTTTCTGTGGCAAAATGTCATAAAAAAGCAAAGGGCCAAGAATATTTTTCAAGGCACTTAGATTAATACGGATTATATGCTGCTACGCACTTTAACAGATGTCCCTTTTTCACACATCTCCTGTCTTCCTTCCAGCAGAAGCCGTTGACAGCGACCCTTCCAGGTAAATGGAGTTTGAGTGCATGTTGAGACTAAAGCAAGTGTGTGACTGAGTGACTTGGAGAGACCAGAGGAGTCGAGGGGAGGGGAGGAGGAAAGAAAAGAGCAAATTAAGAGGAATCTTTACACTCATAGTCATATTTCTTGTCATTATTTGGCAGAAGTCTGTTTCTATTTTTTCTTTTTTACTTTGCTTTCCATCATTATGGATGTAGAAGATACTTTAAGACAATCTAAACTGAATTCAGAACAGAAACTGGAGGTTTTTCAAGAAAGTCTGGTTTATTGGAAGGAAAATGTAAACAAATATGGGGGATGTTTGAAAGGTGTTTGTTTTCACTACTATCAGAATCAGAAATACTTTAATAATCCCAGAGGGAAATTACTTTTGTTACACGCTCTAGTTACAGTTTTACATGATATATATATACTATTATATACTACTATTATATATACTATTAAAAAGATCAAGAATTATTAGATATTTGTAACTACATGAAGCAGGATTATGCATTTTATTTGTTATATTTCCCAGAATGCAATGTACTACTCGGTCAGTCCGCATGCGGAAGTCCAGACCAGTTTCCCAATTCTGCCACACACTCTTCACCACAGACATACTCTCCTATATTGAGGTAACACACTGGAACAGCACACAAAGGCTTCTTTGCAGTCCCCTTTTCTGTTTGCTGCACTTTGCTGAACTGCTGCTAAACTCTTCAAAAAAAAATCGCTGAGAGAATCATGATGCTGAGGATCCAAGGATGGTGGTGGAGGTGGGGGGCTCCTGAGTGCACAAAGGTCCCACCCTCAGTGTTGTCATCTAGTATGGTCATGCTTACAGCTTATTGCTAGTGGCTTTCTCCTCTTTCAGCCGAAATTGCTCTAATCTCTCCCCCTCCTTGCTTGTGAAAGGATGACAAACACGCTTGCCTCTTTGCTTCCTTCTCTCAACTCCTCTATTGAGTGTGTGTGTGTGTGTCTGGGCTTACTCAGTCCCCACTGCCTCTAAATCTTGACCCTCTGTGTTTTTATTTTTCCCCCTCTCTTCTATTCTTTGCTCTTTCTGTGTCCCCGCTTTGCTGTGCTTGGCCTGGTGCAGAAGAAGAAGGAGAATGTCTCGGACACAGGTACACAGACAGCAGAGTCAGTTGCATCTCGTAGGTCGCACATGGACAGCTCCAACAACACTAAAATCAAATCTGTTATCTGAGAAACTGTTAAGGGAGAGTGAATTTCATGCTGTATCAAACTGTATCTGTAACAGTGTAAGCAAGCAGAAGAGATGAGAGAGAAGGTGCTGATAATCAAACGTCCATTGGTTATGACTTCAGGTTGACATTAAGAGGTTATGTGCAGCATTTTATTACAACTTCAAGAACAGTAAAAAAACTAAAATGTTTTCTCAAATGGTTTAGATGCTTAAGAACCAATTAAGGTGATTTCCTTTCTTTATATTATTTTCTTAACAGCTTTGACATTTGAATTTACTTTGATATCTATAACATCAGAAAATATAAACAGCGACTACCACAAATGTTTTTACGAGCCTCCATGTCATTGTCTTCTGATAGAAACTGTAGCCCCTTAAATTAATGTCATGGTTTCTGAAAGGCTGTCAATGTTTCCAAACAGTTTACCTTTTTTCATCAGTCCACAGAGTAGTTACCAAAAAGACTTTAGGATCTATGTGTGTTTGGGAAAATGTGACAAGCCTTTATGCTCCTTTTGGCCTTTGAGGACATTTTGCCCTATCTTTGTTGTTATTGTTGAAAAATTAACATTGACCTTAAATAAATTAAGTGAGGTGCACTGGAAAAATTATCTAGAAATAAGTTAAAATTCCTTTAATTAAGTGTATTTACCCTTAATTTAAGGGGGGAGTGGCGGCCTAGTGGTTAGGGCATAGGGCTTTGAATCCTGAGATTGGGAGTCCGATCCCCCACCCCACAGACTGCCACTCTGGGTCCCTGAGCAAGACCCTTAACCCCACTCTTCTTCCCGGGCGCCGTACAATGGCAGCCCACTGCTCCCCAAGGGGATGGGTTAAATGCAGAGATAAAAATTCTCCAATGTGAGATCAATAATGTTCAAATCAATTTATTTTATTTATTTATTTAATTTGAGTAGGTAAATGAGATTGCCAACAGAATAAGTATTTTTACACTTAAAATAAAATAATTAGATAACCTACACTTGAAATAGGACAATGCAATTGTGTTTTCTTATTTTAAATGTAAATTGTCTTGCTCCATTGGCAAAATGTCTCTTTTACCTCCTCAATCCAAAAACAAATGCACTTATTTTAATAAAAAGTGACTTATCTAGATTTGGATTTTTTTCCTGTGTGGGCTGGGTGTAAGGTGTTCTGGGTCCTTTTTTGACCTCCTGTATATGAGTTTCTGACTCTCCCAGAGTAAATTTTGTAGGCGGGCTACTCCAGGGAAGGTTCATCTCTATTCTGGGCTTGGGTCAGGATTATTTGCTTTTCCTTTTAATGAAGGAAATATCCTTTTATCATTTTTGTTTTTACTCAGGTTATCTTAGACATTCAAATTTGTTTGCTGAACTGAAACATTTAAGGATCGAAAATGAGTAAACACTGGAAGCATCCTCCAAGCATACCAAAAGCACCTTTTGTATGGTCTTAAATGGCCTGGAGTAAAGTAATAGGTTTATGAAGCAGGCTAAACAAATTTTTTCAGGTGTTGTTTGTCAATAATTAATTGGAATTGAAATTGAAACATGTTCAAAGCCTGATTATCAACAAAATAGAAAGAAATGTACAACAATGCCTAGTAATACAACAATGTGTGTTTTAGCCAGTTTATTTATTATAATAATATATGGATCAAACATGTAATACTGATAAATTGCAGTAGTTTGGTGCTCATTAAATCTACATGGTTTTCAGACATGTTGACAGTATATTAATCAAATTAAATACAAAACTGAGACCTGTAAAATGTGTGTTGCTATACGTAGGGTCTAAATTTAAAAAAAAAATTCAAGTCTCCAAAAATTAGGTTTTCGGAAAAAATTGTCTCAGAGTAAAATGTTTTCAGTTTGTGGAAATTAGCTTTATCAGATTTTAGGACTCAGGAAAAGACAGAGCTCTTTTTTTAAATTCAGTGAAGTTAATTGTGCTTTGGTTCTTGCTGTGTCCATAAAATGAACTTGGTGGTTGAATTGTGGAGAGTGGAAAGTTTTAACGATTTTTTAAATGATGTCTAACTGTCTATTTTGGTAAAAAAAAAAATGTACTTTTGTCATTTTCATGCATTCTGAATCGTTAGATCAAAACACATAAAACGGGTCGCCGGCGACCCGGTGGGTTCAGTAGACTAGAGTAAAAAAATAGTAGGGTACCCTACCCATGTCTGATTGCAGGTCAAGCGGATTGATTAAGCTCGGAGATCGATTACAGACCACCCAGAAAATTGTGCTTAAAAAGAATTATGTATTAGTCTTTCTTTGACCCAAAACAAATCTTTGAAGATGTTTATAGATGAGAATGAAGCTTAGTTAAATTCAATTATCTGTTTAGTTTGTCAAGATTTTATTGAATTTAAAAGATATGTTTGTTCCTGAGACCTAAGATATGAGAACTGATTACTTTATGCCTCAGACCTGACTTCTTTTTTTCCTGAGACCTAGAAACTTTTTTTTCTGACAATTCTCTTTCTAGGAGCTGAAAACAATTCTGTGAAACATTAAACCAAACAAGCTTTTTTCTTAGGACCCGATAACTTATATCCTGAGACCAGATTGTATTCTAAAATCTTAACCATATTCATGTCACAGGGGGAAAAAATTACTATTGAGAAGATCCGGGGCAAAAAAAAAAATTGAAAGATCTATGACTGGGTGACATGTGTCAAAGATTTTTAAAAGTCAGTGTCGTAAACACAACTTGCCAGAAATGGTTTAAACTTTCAATCACTTCTGCATATTAAAGAGTCGCTGAAAGTTTAGAAATTCAGTCTGATTTTCTTGTTGTTGTTTTGCTCATTTTTGTCAGTGTTGCGAAAAAAAATGTATTGCATCACCAGCAAGCTCTACTTGTATTATTCAGCTTATTTCCTTTTGCTATTTCCTTAAATGCACTTTCACCCAAACTTTCCAAAAAAAGTTTAAAAAAAAAATTCACTAGACTTTGTTTCCAAGTTTGAAGACGTTTCGCTTCCCATCCAGGAAGCTTTATCAATACAAAATGTTGAGGTTTCATAGAGTGGACCAAAAACAAAGCCTTGTTTTGGGTTGGAAATTTTGTTTAAAGGATTACATAAATAACTTTTTTTAAGAGCTTTATTTTGTTAAAAAAGATTGCTGTTTTTATAGAATATGAAAGTTACATGTCATTTTATAAAAAAAAAAAATGATTTCCTTATAAAAGGACCTTTCTTTTTTTTTTTTTATATTAGTGGCATTCCTTTGTCGCCCAACCTGCTAAAACCTCTTCGTGCTTTCAGACTTTTTTTTCCATCTTCAATTTTTTTGCACTCTTTTGTTTCACATTTTATCTCCTCTCCTCAATATCTGACTTTATTTTTTCTCTCCACCTGCCCGTCTTTCTTCTCTAGAGCTCTGGGCAGCAGATTCCAGTGGTGGTTGAGAGCTGCATTCGTTTTATAAACCTCCATGGTGAGTTAATTTTCTGATGTAGCAGGCAGCTGCAGTAGGAGATGAAGGGTTTATGAGTAGGAGCAAAGGCTCTTACCTTTGATCCATGTCCATCCAGACCTTCAGGTGCAGAATTATGGCTTCAGTAAAGAGGTGCTTCTTTGTCATGGTGTTTGTTACAGGCCTCCACCATGAAGGAATTTTCCGAGTTCCCGGCTCACAGAGGGAGGTGAACCTCATCAGAGATGCATTTGAGAGAGGTAAGAGTATGCAAAGTGATTAAAGATAATTAGTTGCTCCTAATACATTCAAATTGAATAAGATAACCCCTCAGATTATAAATGAAATTGTAAATTTCTCCAAAATCTCTGACCTGGAGTTTCTTGTACTGTTGCAAAATCCAGCATTTGAAAAAAAAAAAAGCTTTAAACAGGTCAGTGATAAATCGGACTGAGAATAAAGGCTTTTATTGATAAAAGTAAAAATTTGAGGTGTGCATTTTCACAAAAACTCTTTTTTAAATTTGTAGAATTTATTTCTAGAGTAGTAGACATGTCTGAAAATGATTTCTTTGAAAACAAATGGACAGAACAATACATTTAAAACGAAGCTCACATACATGGCCCCCACAAAATTTGCCACTTTTTACAGCAACATCTACAAGTTTTGGTTAATTTGGTCTTTGTTGTCTAGTTTTGTTGTTATGCTGGAATGTGAACGTTAGCCACTGTCTTAAATCTTTTGGAGTCTAAAAGAGATGTCTTCCAGGTTTCTATTGGCTACGTTCACACTGCAGGCCTTGATGCTCAATTCCGATTTTTTTGTGAAATCCAATTTTTTTTGCGTTACCGTTCATATTTCCAAATATATGCGACTTGTATGTGATCTCCTGTGTGAACTGAAGTCATACAACGCAAGTGTCCTGCATGCGCAGTAGAGGATGCAATGACGTCACAGGCCAGCGTGCTCTGTGTTTACAGACGTTAATATGTACCCCATTTACACTACCCTTGAAAAACCATGCCAAGACCGGTCTGAGCTCAGTAACTGAGATAACTTATTGTGAGTAAATGGAAAGCAAACTGAACTGAACCGAGCTAGACACCACCGAACCGAGCTAACTGTAGACCAGTTCCAGAGGTGGGCTCGGCTAGGTTTTTCCCTGGCTCAATTCTCTGATAGCAAGAGTTCATGAGCAGAACGCGTCATCACCGTCTGGCTGCACATCCCGATTCACACTCCATTCCAGTAGTTGGCGGTAATGCCCCTCCGGAAGTTGCTTGCCAACCAACACAAAACAGAAGAAGAAGCACAACTATAAACAACTATAAACATCCATAAAAGGTTGCAGTCTTCACCTGACCCTCCGCAAACACCGAAGCACAGCAATAATAATCAAGCATAACTTTCTGAATGTGACGGGCACCGCCATTTTGATTTGCTTGATTCCCTCCTTCTTCGTCTTCTTTTTCTTGTGCTTTATGGCGGTTGGCAAACAACTTTTGGTGCATTACCGCCACCAACTGCTTGGTTTCCTCCTTCAATACTGGCAGTAATACCGCAGATCGTCACTAGGAGGCGAGGAGTCGAGGAACCGACATAGTGTGATGTGTAAACGGTCGTCAGAACCAAGCTCGGCCTGGTTAACTGATCTGAGTTCGGACCGGTCTCGGCATGGATCGGTTTTTCTAGGGTAGTGTAAATGGGGTAATGGATGGTAGTGCCGGCGCACATGTACCGATCTTTTCAAACCATTAAAACACAATCTTTTCAATATGGTTAAACATAAATACTGCGCTCTGCATCATCATCTGCCATGGTTGTTGTTTTTCTTGCCGCTTCTGCATATCAAGACGCATAATAGTGACCTTTGTCGGGTATTAATGTGGTTTGGGTCGGATGAATCCGACCTGGCCGTTCAGACACAGGTCGCAAGATCAGATTCGTATCGGATTCAGGACCACATAGCCAAGTTGCCTGGGTCGGATTGATAAAAATCGGATCTGTGTTGTTCAGACCGCCATGAAAAGATCAGAACCAGGTCACATATGGGCAAAAAAAATCTGATTTGCATCACTTCAGGCTGCAGTGTGAATGTGTCATTTCTTTTCAAAGACGAGCAGCCCTACAGCATGAAAATGTCATGATACTTTAAAAAAATGGTTTTGGTTTTGTTTAAGTTTTATTTTTTGTTTTCATTGCTCTTATTTCGATTCTTGTGTTCTAGGTATTTTTGATTGTATTTGAGTTCTTGGATATTTCCTGTTTGCCCCCTTGTGTCAGTCTCCTTTTCCCTTGCTCCCTTCTTGCCTCTGTTCATACCTGCTCCCAATCTGCTAATTAGCCTGGTCTTTGTTTCTCTCTCCCATATAATGTCCTCCTGTTCAGTCACTCTTTGCTGGTTTGTCGTCATTACTTTGTCCCGTTCTTCTTGTGAGTATTCTTGGTTTTCAGGATTTTTGTGGATTTATGTTTTTGGATTTTTGCGTTTGATGTACTTTTGGTAAATTAAATATTCAAATAACCACCTCAAGCTCTTGTGTCTGCATTTGCGTCCTGTCAAACCTCCACCCCCACTGTGACATCCTGAATGTTATCTATGAGAGTCATAGTAAATGGGGACTGGCTGTTTGCCAAAAAACACATTTTCACATCACTTTACAATTATGTTCTACTTTGTTTTGGTCTATTGAATAAAATCCAGTTTAAATGTTTAATGTGACTGAATGGGAAGAAGGGTTATAAATACTTTTAAGCGTATCATATCTTTTTTTTTAGCACTATAAAGGTCTTTCTAGTTTTTGGCCTTTTTGGCTCTGTCGTCATCAAGAGTAGTTGGATCAGGTTTGACACAATACAAGTAGACTGAGTTTTCACTCCTACCATAATCTCATCCTGTGTACCTGTTTCAATTTCCTGAAGGTGAGGATCCTCTGTCAGACAATGAATGTGACCTGGACTCTGTGGCTGGTGTTCTGAAGCTGTATTTCAGGGGACTTGAGCCTCCTCTGTTCCCCTACGAGTGTTACTCTCCTCTGCTGGAGTGTGTCCGTAAGACGCCTTTTTATCATCTCTGTTTCTTTGTTTTCGTACAATTTCATAGTTCATCTTGTTTTGGCTAAATCTGTGTTTAGCTGTTTGGTGCTAAACATAAACATTTGCATTGTTTTGTTATCAGATGTACCTTAATTTATTTAAAAGAGTATCTATAGCTTGTCAACCTTAAAAAGAAATTGAAAACATTATTAACCCTTTCTTGGGCAAGTTGGCGTTTTTGATCTATATTGAGCCATTCAGCAAAGATACTGCTACATGGCTGTACATCTTATTTTAGCATTATACCAATTAAATGAGCCTTTGAAAGAATTATTACCTACTGTAAATTAAGTTGAAAACACAAGTCAACAATAAAAGGTAAAAAGCTGATTCAAAAGTTAAAAAGTCAAGTTAAAAAGTTAATTATTTTAAGGTTTATAAACTACAAAAATATAAGTGCCAGTATCAGTATTAATGCCTCTAAGATTATGTTGTACCAAAAAAAAATTGTTCTTTCGCTCTGAGAGTAATTTTCATTAATTTCTTATAGAAGAACTTTTGTTATTTTTCTATATATATTCTGGCAAGTTGGCATTTATTGTTATTACACTGACATTGTTTTTTGCCATCAAAATATCCATGTATTTTTAATGTTACAAAGGTAATAAGGTCTTGTCCTGGATTCCAATGACACTATTGGCTTGAAATTTTGATTTTCAACGTATTTCACTGACTGCCCTATGAAGGGTTAATTCACTAGATAATCAATGGTTATTATCTTGTTAGCCTCTCGGTTTATGTAAAGAAAGGATGTGCTTTAAATTATTGTTTTGTAGTATAGGTATCCTCCAGAGAAAAGTGTGAATCAATCCTTGCTCTGCATCAATATTCCCTAATATAGATGAAATTTCCTGGCATGAATGTTGCAAACAATTCTCATGTTTGTCTTGAAGTGTCTAAAATGTTAAGTTTAGAAGAGCTGGATATGGAAAAGTGTCTGAGACCCAACATTGAAACCTAAATATTCTATAAGATAAACTCAGAATTTCTTAGAAATTAGAATTTATTTCTGTTGAATCTGTGTTTGATTAGTGTATTTTTAAATAAGAATTTTTGTCATATCACTACTGTAGGTCAGCACCCACCTGAATCAAGATTTTACAAAATACCTTTGGCTCTTGGTTTTATTGCCAGTGACAGGATCATGTTTCTCCTCAGACTACAAGCTGTACTGGAAAATGTCATGAAATAATAACTGTTTATTTGCTCTGCACAAAAAGCCCATAGATGCCTATAGACAATGTTTAATTCTGCACATTAAAAGGATCACACTGAAGGTGATAATGAATTTGCCAGAGAAAATGCCAAAGTTATTAACAATGATGACCTGGCTACAGATCTCCAGGCGGAGAAGAAAAAACTTCGACTAAACCATATTTGTACCGGTAGGAGGGGTCAGATGACTCCAGTCAGAACTCTGGAAACTTATTTTAGTGCTGACAACTTGAGTGATGAATATTTCACCAACAAACAGGCTGGAGATTATCATATTATGCACATTTTTATAAACAATATTTTCCTCTCAACATCCAAAGAGTCTTCATAGATGCACTAGGGTGTGAATCTTAGTTTCCCAGTGGTAAAATTGATCAACTGTGTAAGCATAGTTAGCAAATTAACATTGGTGCATTAGCTTGCCCCTGAAAGTCCAGTTCAGCTCCACTAGACAGAGCACAGTACAACCCTATTTATGCAGTATTTCCGGCACTGGCTGCTAGTGTTTAAAGAACAATATGTTTCAAAGCTGTGTATATCCACAGATTACTTGTAGAATGGAGTTTTTTTGTAACTATGACTGTAACCGTTCGCTATAGCAGCCTTGAAGATAACCAGGGCCTGAAAACTAGAATACATTTAACTCTGAAATCATGTCCTTCCAACTGATTAATTATGAAATCCACTGACAATTGAATGCACCAGTAGATCTTGCAGTTGTCATGGGTCATCCAAGATGATGCTCTGGATGATTTTGAAGGGATCATCCCACTTTTGCATACATTCTACTTGGTCAGGCAGATACTGTTCGAATTTGTTCTCCAAAAGTAAAGACAGATATTTCTTGCATCACGTGCTTAGGATTTTTATCTGTGGCCATCTTAAATGGATGCCTAAAGGGTTTGTTGCTGCATTTATAAAAGTCCAATTTGTTTTGCATTTGAGTCAGCTTTTCCTTCCGACACTGAAAGAAGCTGAAACTTAATAACTCACAACAATCTGCTTTTTTTTCCCCTGACCTGATTTATTTCCTTTTTGCCCAGAAATTGAAGAGGAGACTGACAAAGCTGTCCAGGTCAAAGCAATTGTTTCCACTTTCCCACGGCCTCTTCTCATGGTGATGCGCTACCTTTTCGCTTTCCTCAACCAGTAAGCTGAAATGAAGAGTTCATGTCCTAGAACTAGTATCTGCTAATGTTTAGAAAGGACGTGCCCAGCTAAAATGAAGACCTAGCCCCTGTGTTTTTGTTTTTCTACAGTGTGTCTCAGTACAGCGACGAAAACATGATGCAGCCATACAACTTGGCCGTGTGCTTCGGGCCAAGCCTCCTGAGGGGGTTGGAGTCTGATGATGCTGTTGCTAGGCAGCCACAGGTTAACGACCTTGTTAAAACTATGATCCTTCAGCATGACATCATCTTCCCTGGCCAATCTGAACTGCCAGGTCCCGTCTATGAGAAGCACATGACACTGGAGCAGGAGTACTGGTAAGCTCCAAGTTATTCTAGCAAATGTTGGATCATTGCTGTGCATCTAAAGATGGGGCGTACTGAACAACAAGTTAAGACAAGTTAAGCACCTGTGTAAATGTATCTGTGTTGTTAAAATATCAGTTATTCACAAACTAACATAAGGCAGATAAACCAAAACTGACAATGTGAAAAGGATCTTTACCTTGTGTATAGATTAGATATCCCAGTGGGCTTTGGACCATCTTGGCTGTATATGCTTCATGGCTTTTTTATTTGCTCAGTTTTGTCACAAGTACACCTAACCAAATAAGAATCAATTATCTGTGGTTGCTGTTAAATTCAACTGATTTAACTTGCACAGATTCCATCAATATTGTATAAAATGCTGTTAATGATATTGATAACAGGAAGTTGTGCCCCGGCTCAAAGTTAGCCTAACCCCTTGCTCACACTGGCTCCGGTGCGGTTACCGAGCCGACGGAGACCGCAACTCCCGCACACCCCCTCTCACACCGCCCTTTTGACTACGGTGCGGTGCGGCTCTGCGGCTCCGGCAACAGGTCTGGAGATTTAACAGAAGTTCACTTGAGTTCACGTAACTTCACGCGATAACAAGGCCCAAATAAGGATATTTGCGAGAGCTTGTTGCGGAGGGCTCCAGCACACTGCAAGGATAGCTTTCTTGCGGAATTTTCTGCAGCACCGGAGTGTCTCGGTAACCGCAGCCGAACAGCTCAGCAGCCGGTGAGAGAGGTTTACGTCTTTTTAATGACTTGGAATCACTGCGGCGCCGCACCCACCGCACCGCAACGATAAGACCGGAGTCGGCGTGAGCCTGGGGTAAGGCCCCATGCAACTTTGGTCAACCTGGATACAACCATATACCTGCTAATTTACATATTTTTGAATGAGGACATTTTACACTCAGACAACTTTTATTGCCATTTTGTATAGACAGTGTATACGAAACAAAACTTTGTTTTGTACAGATTTCAGCCAGTTTTATACATAAATGACACAGATTTACACATAAATATTTTAAAAAATTTGTATTGTAGGGACTTGTTAGAGACATGTCCTATCTTTTAGGGCAGACTTTTTTTATTAATTCTTAACTCTGTATAATTCATTTAGATTTAAAAGAGATTTAGTTATTTACCCCTGTAAGTGGATGTAGCAGCCCAATTGTATAAACCTTTAGTCTCTTTGATGGTTCCTCACCTTTAAACAGGTTTTTACGCTGAGTGAAACTAAAAAGGGATTTTGGTTTCACTCATATAGGTTTGTGCAAATGTTTGTTACTCAGTCTGAACATGAGCCTGCAGCCCATTAACAGTAACTGTGTTGTGATTTTATGTTCAATGCCCATCCAGGTAAGATGCCACATTAATGTTGTGGATTTATATTCTATTAAATTCCCAGCCAGCTGGGAATTTATATTTCTGATACTTTAAGATGGTAAATATCTAATCAGATATTATTTCGGCTGGTATATATTCTTTATGAACACATGCCCTACTAGCTGTTTTAGAACACTAAATGAGTAATTCGAGCACTAATCATGGTCAAACAGTTAATTCTGCACATAAATTCAGAACAACTTCTGTTCAAAATAGAAGTTTATTAATAAAAAATCATTCAGCTGCAAGGCAAACATATTTCAGTTTAACACTCTCAACTAAGTCTAGTAAAACTGAACAAACTAAACTACGATGTACAAAGAGGAAGGGAAGCATGGTTGAAAACCATATTACAGTTTAAGAGGGATCTTGTGTTTGGACCCAAAGTTTATCTGGAAGAATTTGGGATATGATCAAATTAGCTTTTCACTAATTTAGAGAAATTGGAATGTTTTCAGATCAATTCTCAATGCAAATCCATGAGGTGAATAAAACATTATTTGGCCAAATAATGTTTTATTGAATGATTTGCCAAATCAAGAACCAATAACCTTTAGTCAAATGATTCCTTACCCTCTTCAAATTAACTAGCACCGAATAGACATCAGGATCCCACTAATTGACTCTTGGTCATACAGTACTTGGCAATTGAAATGTAATGAGCCAATGAGGAACACATAAACACTAATGTTATATCAGTGTTTGAACCCTTGGTGAAATAAAGCTTGTCCACGCTTTAACAACGGCTCAACAGATGTTACTATAGCATAGCATGCAGTCCATCCTGTTAGCTTCATCTTTACTCATCAGTAAACACATGAAAGGATCAACACCATCATAAGACATATTGTTTGTTGTGTCCCTAATCATGCCAGACTTGCAAACCTTTTAGTCAATGTCCATTGGAAGGCTTGATTTTTATCCAGCAGCAGCTCAGAATAACAGCAAGGCAGGGTTTGCTTTGTCTCATTGGCTTACACCAGGGGTCCTTCTCATCCAGTCTGGCTCTATAAGCTCTAAAACTCAAGAGAAATGTTTTGCAAAAGTTTTGTTTTTGCTGCAGTTTTGTTCTGAAAGGTCACCATGACTTATCCTTGATGATTCTGAAAATCTGGGTGTTTTGGCCCCGGCTGTCCATTCTAGAGAACCAGTGGACCTGCACCCTAGCTTCATGGGCAAGAGAGGAGGCACAGAAAGAGAAAGCAGTCCTGTGTTTTCTGTGGTTTTCTTGTCCTCACAGAGAGGGGCTTGGCAAGTCACACCTCTGTGAAAGGTCCTGTGGAGGAGTTGGCTGAAAAGGGGGGGTTGGAGAGATCTTATAGCTGGTTGTTCCACAAACTTGTGTTCTCTGGTCATCATGTCGCAATAAAATATGGACGCTGGTTCCCAATGTCCAAAAATCACTATCATGGCATATGGCACAACAACTGTGACAAAAGAACTTAAACTCTGACTAAAACATTGTTTTTCCCTCATGGATCTTTCATCTGTGACAGATGAATGTTTTTTGTAGCAGAATGAGGTCTTGCATGTAGCGCTACTAAAGCATGTTGTTTGGAGACTGGTGTTGCATTTCTGGTTTGTGTGTCAAACAAAAGAGGAATTGAAAGTGACCACCAACTTTCTTTTTTTCTGCTTGCGCCCAGTGAACCAATAACAGAGGAGGGAGATGGAGAGTCCGAGCAGCTACCCAGTGAGGATGGTCAGTGTTAACGCCAACAGCACACTAATCATCAAACATCTTATTTCTTATAAATGTGAGAATAGTTAAAACAATAAATGTGCTGTAAATTTTGACTTGCAGAATGGGAGGCAGTAGCATTGTTTGACTATGTGGCCAGATCTCCAGCAGAGCTTTCCTTAAAGCAGGGAGATCCTATTATTCTCTACAGCAAGGCTTCTTGTGACTGGTGGAGGGGCGAAGTTGGAGGAGTTAAGGGTCTCGTTCCTCACAAGTACATCAGTGTACTTGAAGGGTAAGTTGTACATTTTTATGCATAAGTACTTCGGGCATGATTATATTTGAGATTGAACCTCAAAAGAGATTGTACCTCACCTAAATGAAAAATCAAACCTGTTCCATATATGAATTGATATTTCTCCTGCGCAATTCCCTAAAAAAAAGCTCATCCTATAAAACATAAAACAGGTACTCATTTCAAGATGCATCAAACTTGATAACTTATTAATAGTTTAAAAGATTATTTTTTTTTAACTAGTTCTGGCAATCCACATCTGCCAAGGTAGCTATATTCTATAAAATATGATATCTGGAGATACTGTAGTATCCAAATGGTTGAACTTTAAGCAATCAGAGTTAAAAAGACATTACAGTGATGCAGTCATAATCCACCAGCTGAAAACCCAACATACTGTGACATGACCTGGGCTACTTCTTAAACACCACCGCACCAGTGAGGTTTTAGTTGAATTAATTTAGGAACATTGAAATTAAATTAATAGTAATAGAAATGTATCAAAAGAGTAATCTTGTTTGTTTGTCACACAATTATTTATCTTCAGAACAGGGCATTAAAAATGATAATGTGTTAAACAATATAATAAACTAACCATGATGTCTGTCACTGAATCCTTAGCATGTTAGGGAACTTGGGAATGTCATCATGCTTTCTTTTATATAAATTGTGAGTGGCTGAACATCTGAGAAAGAAACTGACAGCCCCAGTTTTAAAACGAATGCAGAATCAGATTAATATGTTTTCAAGCTATTTTAAACTTTCTTTAAAGGAAGAGACTTTAAATCAGTTCCAGACTAAAGCAGTGACTATAGATTTGCCTATCTCTTAAGTTTTTCCACACCAATATATTCTCTTGGTCAGTCTTAATCCCACACTCAAACTGGTACTGTTTTATCTTTTTTCTCATGAAACACATGCTTCATTTAATCCTCTGCTTCTCCTCCTCCAGGTCAGAGCGAGGAAAAAGAGATGACGGTAGAGTAGGTGGAGGCAGCACTGGAAACCTAACGGCAGAAGATGCACACACAGAAAACACAACAAGGTCTTCACACAAATGCACGAACAAGCAACTGTACACACTCAAATGTACATGAACACATTCACAGAGAGTTTGCCATGTGCAGTTTAGAGGGACGAGTAAAACTATTTGGTCAACCTTAAGAACATGCGGCATGAATTAAAATTTGACCTCACAACCGAGAAAATACAGTGTGACAAAGACTTGCTTTCAAGCCCACAAACAGTAACAGTTACTAACCAAAGTCCTAACATTTCGGCGTGTCTCAACAGGATGCGGGTAAACAGCGATAGTGCTTCGTTGCCAGGGAGACAGAGAGGAAGTGAGGGAAGCCCGAGTCGAAAGCCACAAGCTTCCCCTGCTACAAGACAACAAATACCCGTGTAAGGCTGCACACCTCAGGCTCACGGCAAACTCTGGGGATATTTAGTAAGATTTAAAATGTTTACAGAAGGATGCCACCAAGATAGATTCAAGTTTTTCTGAAGAAAAACCTAAAAGTCAGCAGACACTGAGTCAGTTTTGGCCAATTCGGTCACATCTGTCTGGCTTATGTAGCATTCTGGATTTAAGTGGCTCGGGCAAAGCTGATCACAAAGGTGCAGGATGCAGAAAGGAGTAGTGTAGACTGGTTCTTGTCTTAACTTGAGCTGGTAGAGTTGTGTCGCCATCATTGTGCCATCCACATTGATAATGATTGGAACTGAGGGATTTGGGATTAGTGATTCATACTGCACAGTGTATTAATAGTAAATGTAAATTTTGATTGGGGTTCCTTTATAGGTTTTCGAGGTAATCCTAATTCATGCGTTTTTTTGTTTTTTTTGTTTTATATACAGTGTCCTGTCTGGCAAAGTGGCAATGTGGCAATAAGAATAACTGTATTGATGCCAAAAAGAGCCCAACAGATTTTACTTTCACAAGAGGAGCAGTGCGGCTATTGCCGCTTGTTTTATGCATATAAATTACTTTATTATAATTATGCAGGGAGATTTGCAGATTATATGGACACTGCAATTTAAGTAGAACAGGAAAGGAAAAACATAAGAAAAAGGAGGAAAGATGAAAGAGGAGATAAAATGTAGACAATGATAAAACCTTTTCAGTCTCCTTCATCACCTGCAAAGAGATGTAAAAAGAACAGCACAACCAACGGACATGGTACAAGACATACAATAAAGTAACTAATTGATACTATCTCTGCAGTATAAGTAGTATTATTTATTCTGACATGTACTCTGTGTTACCTGAAGATAAGAATACGGGCTTTCTGTATGGAAGTGAATCTCTAAGTACCTGGAAGCAAGCACCTGAAGTTGTTTGTGAAAGTGCACTTGTGCATGTAAAGTTTATCCATAGAAAAAATGCTCAATAGTGCTTGTGGAAGAATGAGGGGTTGTCAACATTTGGTCCATATATGCTGACAATACATAACTTTTGGTTATGAATAGATATTTTAATTTTGATGAATCTGCCTTCAGGATCAATAATTTTGTCTAAAGTAAAACTGACGTTTTTGTGGATTAAAATTGCTACTCCTCTCTGTCTAGAGTCATAGCAGGCTGCAAACACATCAGGGAACTTGGGGGGGGGGGGTTAAGATCACTTACAGTGGTCGCTGATTTATGGGTTTGTTGCAATAAGACTTTAAGAAATTCATGCTTTTTTTTACCTGCTCAAAAATAAGCGAAGCAAGCAAAATTAAACATGGTTTTTCATAAGAATGAAACTTGTCAATTACTGTTTATGAAAAAAATTAAGGGTTACGCTTTTTTGCTGTATTAAAATATGTCTTCAGCTTATGAGTTATTTCATTCTGAACTGAAAAAAAGTATTTTTTATCAAAGCTTCTTCCATTTACTGAAATTTAGATAAAGTAATCAGAAGCTTATTTGCATACCTCAAAGTCAGCTTTTGGATTATAACCCTTGGACAAATTTCCCTCTAATTATTGGGAAACCAAAGAAAAAAAACATAAATCTTAGTACTGGACATGTTTTACAATGTTTTTGTACCAATTTTGGCCAACTTTGGCTTGCAGTTTGGAGCATCACAAAATCAGTCCAACAGCCACACTCTTTGTACCTGGTCTAAGATAAATAGCTATGACATTTACGTATTTAATAGCTACAAAGTTGTTTTAAAATAGATCTGCATCACACACATTACCTTGCGAAAGTATTCCTGCTCCTACAACTTTGTTTATTTTTTGTATTATTTTAATTTTTTTTTCTTTGTGCAAACAACTTAAATGCACTATCATGTGAAACATGGTAGCAGAATCATGCTGGGTGAATATTTTTCATGGGACAATGGGTTTAAGTTGCTGGAAATACTGAGTAAAGTAAAAAGTGATACAAGGGCAGAGGTTTAGTTTCCAGGAAGACATTTAAGATCAAGCCAAGCTACTATATGTGTGTCACTCCAAATTCCTCTGTAACGTACCAAAATGTGATGGTGTGAAATGTGAAATTCTGTGGCTTTATAAGCATAAGAGCTTATAAAGCCACAGTTCATTTTTTTTTTGTTTCAGTTCATTTTTTTGAGGCAGGGCTCTACAGTTAGTTTAGTTCAGGTTAGTTTTGGTCCTCTCCTTCTGGCAATTCAGTACTCAAAAAAAAGAAACTTCTCCCTGCAACTGTTAGAAACGAAAAACAAACAAAAAAATATAAGCACTGAAAGGAAAAATAATACTAAGGTGATTGTCATGATCCAATGGCTTAATTTGACAGATTGAAATGCTAAACATTGAAATGCTCCTCTCTGAATCATCCAAGTGTTTACTGTTCTATGGTAACTGATGGTAAAGGTTATTTTTTTACTTGTCCTCAAGGTCTCAAGAGCGAAGACACACTTTGGACACTCTAAGACAGGGCATCGGCAGAATCCCAGATAAACCACCATTTGCCCAAGCAGAAAGACCAACAATTGACAAGGTAATATATTGTGTTAAGCAAGATGTTTTGGTATAATTCTGCAAATCATATATTTTTATTTTAGTTCCCAGGTTAGGAACAATATCCAATGGGACTGTGGTTTTTAGGGTGAAGGGGTTCATTTTAAGATGATATATGCCTGATAAAAATAATTTGTTCTGACAGCCTCACTTTAAGTTGTGTTATGTCCTAACACCTACCACTCCTTTAAGTCTTTAAGCTTTTAAGGTAAAAATGTTAATTCCTGTGATATTTTGATATCTTGTTTTGCTTTCAGTTTGATACAAAAAGCCTCAAAGGTTTATACACGACATATCAGTACTTAGTATAAGGAGGCATTGCTTTCTTTATGTCTACTTTTACTGTAATGCACAGTTTTACAGATGAGAATTTTAATATGCATGAGTCATGACTAAATAAAGATGGCCAGCTCAGCCAAGAATATAAATGACAGTTCTTAGTAAGAAATCTATTTCCTGTTTTGAACCGTAATGCTTCATAATAGACACCAGCCAACATATTCAGAGGTGACAGGTACATTCATATAGAAAAGATGGCATTAACAGAGTTAGGAAGATCATCAAAATGAGATTTTTCTAACACTAAGAAATCATTATTTATAAATTATAGATAATTATAAACATATTTTAATGAAATACTAGATTAATCTCTAAAGAATAGTTTAGAGATTTACCATAGTTTTAACAGCATTTTTGGACTAGTCTCATATAAAGAAATTTAGACTGAACAGCGTGAAACACAGACTGCGGACACCCAAACACAGCAGCAACCATTTCAGCAAGGCGTTTAACTATTACTGATGTCACTTCCATAAATACAAAAGAGAGTTGGACCGAAAATGGAACCCTGTGGAACAACTTTTCTGATGTTTGAGTAGGGGTGAACAATAATTCAATATCCATACAATAATTAACAGGGATATAACTTCCTTATACTTTACAGTCTAAGGTCACAGCATATCTCACTGGATTTTAAGTAGTTTTATGTGTTTTGTTATTTAAAGCAAATATTTCTTTAATGTGTGAGGAGTTTTATAAACGTGGCAAGATAATTGTCATAAGTTTGTACATTTGCTAGTTGGTTTCTGTTTAGGAGGTGATTCATGAGGAAGCAAGAGTTTGAACATCAGAGACTGCATCAAATTAGACTCCAAACGCAATGAAATGTTAAGAGTGGAGTTTATAGTTAATGAAAAAGATAATTCATAGGAATGATGGTTTCCTACGAGGGTCTTGAAAATTGGCCAAAATCTCATTGGGTTATTTAGACATTTTGTGGTCTGAGACAAATAATAATCCTGTTTTGCTTTCCCTACGGCAGTAACTGCAACTGATGGAAATTTGACCAATCGGATTCAAACCATATATCCTTGAAGTTGCCCAAAACATTTTCCTGTTCATCAACAACTATTTTTAACTATTTTTATATTTGTCTCATGTAAAACCTAAACTGAAATGCTTACACATTATTACTTTTTTTAAAAGTCCTCTTTTTATTTTCTCTGCCTCCTCTTGCTGTCACACAGGAGATAATCAGCCGTCAGATGAACTCTGTGTTTAAGGAGCTTCTCTCCCGTCAGCCTCCCCTGCCATCATCCACCTTCCCTGCCGCTGTCTCTATGACTCCTTCTTCCTCCTCGTCTTCATCAATTGCTCAAGCTCCCCCCTCAACTAAAAAAGGATTTGGTATTAGAAGGGCAAACCCTTTTCAGTCTGGTGGACAGAGATGAAACATGGAGACAAGCGGAACGTTTGGGTTATTATTCCCCAGTGATGATCATTTAGCTGTTGCCAATCAGGCATTTGTTGAAATTCTTGAGTTTTTGGGGGTTTTTTTCTTCTTTTTCTGTTTTATGCAAAAGTGTACAATAGTTGCATTTGCCATCTCATAGTGCCACTAGTCTTGGTGCCGTATAGGTGTATGTCCAGTGTACCTGTTTTTCAAATGGTTTTGTTGTAGTCAGTTTTTCTCAACAGGATTTTTGCAACTTTACAGGAATCAATGATCTTATCCGTCAGTGATATCACCAGAAAAACAGCTTAGTACAGCACTAGGTGTAGACAAACCATAAAATATCTAAACTGCCCCTAGGGCAGGTCTGAGATCAGCTCACCTGAATTAATTCCTCTTGAAAACTGATCTGGGTCCTGTGCCTAGGAGTGCCTTCACGTCTTTGTGAACGTTTATTTCACTTAAAAAGAAACAAAACTGAGATATTACAATTGCGTGTAAGAAGTTAAAATATTTACCTCTAAATTTTCAATGGGCTCAAACGTTTTGAGAGTTAAATTAAGATCTACAAAATATCAGAAGTCATGTGAACCTGAGCTAATGTAGTAAAGAGTGTTATAATTTTTTAATGGTACAATAGTGATCATCTTTTCTTTAAAGACGCGCATTCAAAATGTCAGTTAGTTCCTTATTGCCAGTAAGCCACTGGACTTTTGCTACTTTTTATTGTGTAACTTAGGTTTTAAATGGTGCCTTCAAATGGAGCCATGCTTGTAGAATTCCCAAAAGATGTTGCTTCTTTTATGTTCATGAAAAAATGTTACAGGGTTTTAGGAATAAAAATGATTTAAGGATTTTGTGAAACTTTTTCAAAAGCAGAAGTAAACCTTAGCTTTAAATGACTGACACATATATATCAACCATGAGACCTGAGTGCTTCTTCCGTAAAAAATAAACTCACTTTTGTTTATATTGTCCAATTCATATTTTTTTTTTAGTTGATGATATAGTGGAGGATGTTCTTTTTCCGGGTGGCTCATCAAAATAAGTGTTTCTCCTAATCGTCAATCATTCCGGTGATAGGGTTACGTAAGGCCGTCCTACGTGCTCGTCCCAATTTTCAGTTACCGGTGGTGAGTCTGACGGTGGAAAAATTGCAAATCTTCTTTCGGAAAGAAAGTTTGTGTGAGTGATGCAAACAGTAACTTTTAAACAGAGTGCACGAGGAGAATTGTGCTTGTGCATGCTCTTGCACGCGTTTAAATGGACGTTCTCTCTCGGGAGCAGGTACAGGGTTGTGCATCTGTTTTTTTTTTCTAAAGTGGAGAGGGCGTGTCTTTTCAAAAATTCCCAAAGATCCACCACAATACCTTTAAGGTTATTTAGGTTGAGATGTGAACGTCAAAGTCTTGTGCTGAGGAAATGTAAGACCTTTTTTTTTTCCCTTGAACCTTAATCCTCTGTACTTGCCACTCAGCCAAACTCATTGTTTTCTTCAAAGCATTTTTAGCATCATCCAGTGCAAAACCAGCTAGTTTACTAAAGCTACCTTGCTAACAAAGAATCTTTATGCTATTGCTGTACAGTAAATTCAAAATTCTTTAGTTTTGGTATCTGAAATTCCTTTTTTGTAGTCATGTAATGTAATAATGTATATCAAGGGGTTTTATTTTATCACTGTTGTTGACGGCAAGTATAAATGTTTTAAGCAACTGTTGGGTTTGCTAAGTCAGGAATTAGGAAGGTAACACTGGAGGCTGAAACACAACCATCATTTAACACCTACCATGCAGTCAATTTATGGGTCATTAGGTAAATTGCAACTTTAGATTCCTTTTGTTTAGAAGGTTTATAGTATTGTTTTTTCAAAGCAGCATCTTATCCTGGAACGTACACACTGAAAAACTATCCCCCTTTATATGTGATGAAAGGCCTCAATATGAGGCCTACTCAGGGCTTTTGCAGAGATAAGATAGGCTAACTCAGGTTTAGCTTTGAAAGATAAGTACAAGTTCCTCTCTCAGGTCTTTGGTTGACTTGTGGTGACTTCCATTTGGACTTTGAAATCTGGGTTACCCAGCTGAAAAATGTTACTAAAACGTTTTATAGCAGAAATTTAACAGCTCTCAAGGATGATATCCAGGATCGTAGTGCTGTGCATAAAGAAACAATTGCAGTCTGATTTTCTTTGGTCTTTTACATTCATAAACATCTTATATTGACTTTTTATGTAAAGTTAATACAATCCAGTCGTAGCATCACCTATGTTTACTCAACATAAATTGCAAAAGCCCCCAGATTTTCAGGCTTGAGGTGGGGTCAGATTTGATCATTTGCCTTTGGCTGCAATCTGTTTTTTTTTTTCTTTTTTCAACTTTCAAGTCAAATGGAATGCACCATTACCCTTTCAACCTGAAACTGTGCCCTTGTCTAAAGAGCCAAAATGGTCCCTGTGTCTCCGAGGTGTAAGTAACTTGATCTGGATTAAACTGTGAAACCAATAGTGGCATCATGGAGCCATGATAAAATCTGTTTCTTTCTTATATCCATTGCTCATTTTGGTCCCTCTTGATATTTAAAATAGTCCAATCCACTGGTTCAACTTAAACGTACTTCTAAATTTTTGCAGTGTTATTCATAACAATCATTAGAACCATTTTTACGTGTGTAATTTATGTACTGTCTTTTTACAGAAATGTGAAAATAGAGTCTTTGTTTTTAATGATTCTGCATCTTTGGTTAAACACATTGGTATTTTGGATCACTGTTTAATGATGTTAACTTTACTGTGTTAAAATGTATATGTGGGTAAGAATTATGAAAACAATAAAGATAAATAAATTGATAAAGTTTCTGCATGTTTTTACAGCATGGAATAGAAGTAGCCTTTATTGTCGAGGGAATCATCAAGATGCACACATAGGTACAATACATACAAATAAAGAGAAACCATACAAGGTCACTATAAAAAAAAAAACTGCACAGTGATTAAAAATAAAAAACAGTAGGGTGAATCCTGAATGTGTATTTATGCACAAAAAATAACTAGTCACAATAAATTAAAAACGAGAAAAACGGGATGTAAACACTGACTTAAATCTTTGGAGCACTGATGACTATAAAGTCTAACAGCTGCTGGGAATACAGTAGTATTTGCAAATGTAAAAACAAGTTTTGGAATCTAAAAAAAAACCCCATGTAGTTACTATGTCCCATAAGGGGGAGCAAAACATACTAATCCATTTCACCATGGAAAAATTACTTCAGGTCCCACACTATAGTATGACTTGTGTCTGTGAAAAATTCAGCTATTAGTGTGTAACGTTAATTGTGAATCAGTCCGTCCATCCATCCACAGGTTTGTTCGAGTGGTAAAGAATGTACTGCCCGGTGAAGGTGCTAATACCTCTGGGTTTATTCCAATTATTTTGCCTGGAAGAATCACTCTTTGAATAATACTTTGAATAACACTTCTTATTATGGTAAACAACTTTTAAACAGGACTTCAATTATGGTACAATTTGTCATGCAGAGGAATTGTACAGATACAATGCTGGGCTGAATCTCTGGAAGTCATTGCTGGAATAAAAGCATGAAAAACATTTCTAGCAAGTTCTTATACCTCAGTGATACCAGTAAACTATGTTTTATACCAAGGTGGAGCAGAACATTAGTTAAAATACAGCATAATGGAAACCAAGGCTCACAACAAACAGATTAGGAAGAAGGTTACAGAGAAGATTAAAACTCTAAAGATCTTCAGAACTACTCTTTAACCCATCCTCCCAAGGCAAGGACTACATTACAAAGCTGCAAACCTACCAATATGGGGATGTATTGGCAGCACTTGGTCACATTAGTGAATAACGTAACCGTGAATGTTAGGAATCCAGTTTGTGTGGGTTGTTTGTGTGTTTTTCTGTCCTTCCACCACCAGGTGGTGCCCTGTTGTCATTGGCCTTCCTGCAGTATTTGAGCGGCGGACTGTCACTACCTCGACCCCAGAGTGTTTGCTAGTTTTGCGTACTCTAGCCAAGCTGAGTTTAGCTGAGTCTAATTTGAGCCTTTGTTTCTCTGAGTCTAACTATGTTTTTGTCTTTGCCTTTTTGGCAGGAAGCCTTCCTGTGTAACTGGATGCCTGGCCTTCTCCCCCTGGAAGGATTAACTGAGTTCACACTGAGCAGGGGAAAACATCCACACGAGCCGTTCAAGTCCCTTTCAGAAATCCAAGTGACAGTCCGCTCCATTGCTCCTCAGGGTCCAACGAATGTCTACCTGTCCGCTCTCCGAGTTCCCTCTTCTCTGGATAAACCCACACCAACTGGATCAAGGAAAAACAAGAACCCCCTCAAACGTGAGTCCCGCTTCCACAGTACTAAAGACTCAGTCGATTTTTCCGACGGCCCCTGAACTGATCACTGTGATCTCCTCTCCAGACTTTCCAGTTCCGGTTCACCAGGTCTCTGAGTTCCTGATTCAACACCTGTACAGTCTTCTCAATAAACCTGTCAAACTTTTCCCCTGGTTCTCTTAGTGGTTCTCTGCATGTGGGTCAGATCTCTTAAATCGATCATGACAGTGAATGAATGTACCTTAAATGTCAAATGTCTGTTGTATTAACTCTGCAGTATAAATATCAATACATAATTTTGTTGGAACTATCATTAAAAGATTAACACAAAGTAGCACATAAATGTGAAACTGGATTTTGAGGTGTTTTGAAAAGCTAACTGCTGACGCTGATGTTACGGCCTCAGGACACGCAGCGCTTGGAGGAAATGTCTTTACTGAGGGAAGAAGAGCCCTGATGATCTTCTCTGCTCTTCTTGAGTTCCTACAGTTTTTAGGTGCCACGGCCACCACAGCACAGATTGAGACAGCTTTTCAGAATGGGGATGGATCGGGGCAGGTGGGCTTTCCTCGTCCTCAGCAGGAAGTACAAGTTGTTGAATATGGAAGTTAGGTCCCCCTGAAAGCGGCTGCGCCTCGGAACTTCCCTTCCGGTTCTTTTCCTTGGAGCAAGTTATTTACTACTCTTAACTCAAACTGGGTAAAACCATATTAAAAAAACTATAAAACATGTGTAAAAAAGTAACTGTTTATTCCAGATCAGGTCGTTACAGGACAGAGAAATTGCTTGGAGTTGGCACAGCTGTGGGCTCAAAAAATGTCAGCGAGCGTCCGGCAAATATTGAGCCCCGAACAAGGTCATCTCCTCTTTCTTATACCCCATGTGATAGGGTTAATAATCATAAACACTTATTGTCCTCGAAATAAAAACCAAACAGAGCAAGTATTCATTTCTTTTCTGCAGAAAAGTGAGAGAGAGGACAGACCAAGGGTGAGACCCCTTGAAAAGTCTGTACTCAACTCTACCCAAACTCGCTTTTCTGCTGCTTTTATTATTGGACTTCAAAAGGAATTACAGGAATGGTCAAAAGTTACCAGGAGGGGTCTGATGTTATCAGGAGGGTCATAAGTTATCAGTCACCTACGGCTGCATAGCTGAATAATATCAGGCCCTGAGAGAAAATATTTCCTCTCCTCATTTAGAGCAACACTTAACATTCCTGGAGCAGATACCTGTAACTTGAAATAAAATGATAACATATACATTTTTCTAACACCATGAGTCTATGTGTTGCATCAGGTGAATGCTTAGCTGTCCATATCAGAAACTGACACGCCATCCATGCCCTGACCTTCATGCATCTTGCCAGATAGCTCTCCTTTATCAGTCCGGCTCCAAGTTGTGCCCTTATCCTATGTATTTTTAAAGACACCGAAGGCTGTCCTGATTAGATGACCTAAACTGTGTTAAAATGTCGGGGTACATGTGACATTGTGTCCGATTCTCTGTGAAGACAGCTCCCCCACTGCAATGTGATCTTTTGGTCGCATCCACCCTTCCTCCTCCTAAAATAACCCCTTTTCCCTACGGCTAACCAAGACCTATAAGAATTAAGTCATATGGCACCACGTTAGCACTTCTGTCGCTCTAAGACAAAACATCACTGCTAATGTCTTTGTGTTGGGTATATAATCTTTGAGGGACTTGGTAATTAATCTTATGATCTTACTGTTATTTTCAATTAACTTTTTGCATTCCATCATATCCACCTGCAAAAATACTGCTTTTACTTATACAGGATTAAAATGCTCTTTGAGTGAGGTAAGTAAGATTTGATCCACCTATATTTAGTGACTAGT